ACATAAGCAGAGACTCAAACCAGCTTAAAATTTATGAAAGGATACACAAAGAAATTATTTTGTAAGGATTTTTAGCCGTCACTCCATATTCTTGTACTATAAAAGAGAGAAATTTTTAGTTATTTTTACTTAGTTCCAGTTATTACTTTTTTCAACCAGAATACTTTAAGCTACTCACCGTCAGCTGAATTTAATTTGTAAACTCGATAAAAATAAAGGTCAATTTTCTAAGCTAAGCATGCACCACAACCATAATCCTTAGCTAAGCATGCACCACAACCATAATCCTTAGCTAAGCAGCATGTTTCAGCACCAAAAAGAAAGTGTTGATTTCTACTCACTTGAAGGAAATATCCTTCTTTCTTCATTATGAAAATTATTTGTATTTATTTTTAGATATTTGTTTATTTTATTTTATGCCAACAAATATTAACTGTCGACATAAGGAATCAATATAAAAGTTATAGAAAAGAATTATAAGGTAGGAAATAAGAAAGAACATTTGTTTAATAAACTTTGGTTAAAAGTAATAACTAATCGACTGATATCTAAAAATTATATACTTTCATTTATACTTCCTTAAATCTTTTCATTTAGCTTATTCCCTAACCACAAGAAAATGCTACTCATTAAGTACAAGTAAGTAACACAACCTATCTCAATTGAGGTTATATTTAGCAATATTTATTCAAAGAGACAGGTTTAGTTGGCCTTTCATTGGTTCTGGCACATAATAAGGTTTATAAATGATATGTTTTCTCTCTATAGAGAGCCGAATGGTGAATAGCACTCGCACTTATTTTATAGCCAAATACTAGGTAAATATATATCTTACATGGATATATACTATAAGCTCATAAGTAAACATACCTTTTTCAGGTATCAGAACCACAGTTAAACTAAGGAAAATGTACAAATGCTTCCATCATTCCGTTGTGAATTAAAAAATAATTACTTATTTATTTGTAGCTTAAAGAATTTTTGAATTTTTCGATTCCGTGAAAGCTTAGCACTTTTGTTTGATAGTTGTTTTTACCATCAAAGTCTTTGGCACGTAAAAAGGGAAATATCTAAATCATTTTATAACTTTTTCACAATTCCCTATGTTTGCAAATAAAATTGAACATAGAGAAGGAAGCAACGCTCACAGCCGTTTTGTGGTAAGATATCCTGTCATATCTGATTATTTTATAAACACGTAAAAGGAAGGATATTTTACCATAATAAAATTGTTAATAGAGCTTAACGACAAAAGTGTACATCAAACTTCAAAAGTTTCGTACATTCTAGCAAATTTCCGCAACAAATTCGTACATTGGCGACATCTTTCCAGCATTTAGAGAAATTTTCGACAGATGGATTTCATAATTCCATAGTAGTAATAAAATTTAAACTGGTGCCATCTTTTGCCATTTCACATGGTTTGCTTCTTCGTCTGTTCGTTCCAGAAGGTGGTTGAAAAACCATATACGAACCTGAAGGAAAAGGACATGTCATTGCTTAGGTTAAAATGGGTAAAGAATGAAATTGAAGAAAGCCCAAATCCAAATTTTGAAAGCCGCAAAAATTCCTCTATTAGTATTAACAATATTGTGTGAGTAGGAATTTTTGAAACCACAAATAAAATTACTTTATGTTACTTTACAGGAATCGCAAAAAATCAAAAATTCTTTTAGTTACAAATACATAATTAATTATTTTTAAATTCACAACGGAATGATGGAAGCATTTATACATTTTCCTTAGTTTAACTGTGATTGTGATACTTATTAGCTTACAGTATATATCCATGTAAGATATATATTTACCTAGTATTTGGCTATAAAATAAGTGCGAGTGCTCTTCACCATTCGGCTCTCTATAGAGAGAAAACATATCATTTATAAACCTTATTATGTGCCAGAACCAATGAAAGGCCAACTAAACCTGTCTCTTTGAATAAATATTGCTAAATATAACCTCAATTGAGATAGGTTGTGTTACTTACTTGTACTTAATGAGTAGCATTTTCTTGTGGTTAGGAAATAAGCTAAATGAAAAGATTTAAGGAAGTATAAATGAAAGTATATAATTTTTAGATATCAGTCGATTAGTTATTACTTTTAACCAAAGTTTATTAAACAAATGTTCTTTCATGTTTCTTCTTATTTCCTACCTTATAATTCTTTTCTATAACTTTTATATTGTTTCCTTATGTCGACAGTTAATATTTGTTGGCATAAAATAAAATAAACAAATATCTAAAAATTTAAATAATTATCATAATGAAGAAAGAAGGATATTTCCTTCAAGTGAGTAGAAATCAACACTTTCTATTTGGTGCTGAAACATGCTGCTTAGCTACGGATTATGGCTGTGGTGCATGCTTAGCTAAGGATTATGGTTGTGGTGCATGCTTAGCTTAGAAAATGGACCTTTATTTTTATCGAGTTTACAAATTAAATTCAGCTGACGGTGAGTAGCTTAAAGTATGCTGGTTGAAAAAAGTAATAACTGGAACTAAGTAAAAATAACTAAAAATTTATCTCTTTTATAGTACAAGAATATGGAGTGACGGCTAAAAATCCCTACAAATTATTTTGTTTGTGTATCCTTTCACTTTTGTAGTTAAGCTCTTTATTATGGTAGTATATCCTTGCTTTTACGTGTTTATAAAATAATCAGATATGACAGGATATCTTACCATAAAACGGCTGTGAGCGTTGCTTCCTTCTCTATGTTCAATTTTATTTGCAAACATAGGGAATTGTGAAAAAGTTATAAAATGTTTTAGATATTACCTTTTTTACGTGCCATAGTCAAAGGCTTTTATGGTAAACACAACTATCAAACAAAATTGCTAAATACAGTGCGTCATTTGGGAATTTTCTTCAAGTGAAAAGAAATTAACTTTTAAGGATATTCTGGTTGGTGCGGAAATTTGCTGTTTAGCTAAAAACAACCCGCATATAACAATGAATAGAATTGCTATTTTCTTGAACTGCTAAGAATGTACTTTCCCGCTATTTTTGGACTGTAATTCCTTTTTATAAGTGACACCATCTTTTGTGAGTATGGTATTAAAATGTTGAACTACGACCTAAGATTTTATGTTTCGAATTTATTCAAACTCTTCGTTTTAATTTCCCAAAATGCCAATTATATTAAACTAACTGAAGTCGTCTTCTTGGAAAGCAAATTAGAAAAACACTAACCACTTATAAATCATCCGAGTCACAAATTCAACATGGGGTTTATTTTGAATCCCCAAAAATAAAATGATTTATTAAAAGAGACCGCATCACTGATGATTTCCTATTTACGTATATGTATTATTTTTTTTTTATTGACAACATTTGTTTTTACAATTTGTATCTGACATATTCATTCCTTACTGTTACAGGTTTCTTATTAATTAATATTTGCATAATTTCTTACGATTATTTTGCCAACAAAACCTACAGATATTCATAAGTTTAACCAAAGTCCTCCATTAACAACTTATAAAAACAAAAAATTTCTAACAAAATTTTGTAACAATGACAATTTTGTAGCACTTTGTGATTTAGAAAACAAACCAATTAAATCATGTTGCAACTTTGACGCCTTTAAAAATGAGCTCTAACTTTAGTATAATTAGTAATAGTGTGCGTCTAAATAAAAATACATATTCACATACATTTGTACACAATTTTGTGTGTTAAGGCAGTCTACAGACATTTCGACAAATATTTTAAAAAATACGAGATTGTACATTCAAGCTTGATATCCAGAATAATAGGAGAAGTAAACTGCTGTGATTTGCGAAATTCTAGATCACCCTAATGTTCGTATTTATTTTAAAGATCTCTGATTAATTCCGGGAAAGGTAATGATTATGCAGTCAAATCTTCATTAAAATTTGTCATAATAATGCAAAAATGTATTTTTTTCCACTAACAACTAACATCAACAAAATTCTAATCATAACATTTTGTACTGAATATATTTTTGAAATAGACTGTCCTATGGCACATTTAATTATACATTTTTAAATTGGTAGCTAAAGTTTGTTAAAAGACTTTGTGAATTTCGAATTTCTCTGCTACTTTTTTTAACTTTGAAAAAAGACATCTGTGAAAATGATTTTGTTAAACTTTTTTCTTTAAAACAAATGAAAGAAAATACTTCGCCTATATTGAAAAAAATTAAAGAAATTTTGTAAATGCTTCAAAAATGTTGTATCCCACAATTTTTCCGAATTTCGTATTTTGAAACAATTCACAATTTAGTTCCATTCCCGTGTTGATTTCCCTTATAGTATATGCGTCTTTCATCCCTTTTAACAAGGACTGCAATATCGTATGTTATTGCAAAATATGTGTAACATCATCAATAAACAATAATTATGCACACACATAAGCATTCAGTTACTACATTTTACAAAAATATTTATGCACATCGGCTTGATGTGAACACCCATCCATTCAAATTAACGTATCTTATACGCACTATGTATCTATAGAATATGCCTATTTACTTGTTTATACACATTTATATTTTAACAGGTTTAAATTTGAATGCCATTGCATTAAATTGTAGTATATGTTGAGAGATATATGGGCTGTGTTTAGATTCTAAAATCAAATACGGTAGATAGAGTTTATCGATACATACATAAGTCACGTTTATACGGAATCCAAAAATTGTTAATTGGAATTAGCGATACGCGTAAGTATATCTACTTAGATGTTTCTAATTAGTTGAAGCGTTTCCTCAATAAGATTTTATTTATTAATATTAATATTAGATGTTTTCGATTGGGGAGAAAACTTCGTCAATAACCAACTAAAGAGTTTAGATTTTTTGAGAACGTTTACTAATTTGCAGGATTCGTTAATGAGGTAATTAGAAAGTCATTCAGTTAGCGGCATCTTGAGAAAATAAAAAAGTATCAATTAATATCGAGTTGAGTTAAACGTCATATCTGAAAGCTTAAATTCCGAGATCATTTACATTTATTCGATATATAATTAGTCAGCCTGATTTTCGGATTCCGTATAGACGTGATAATTGTTACGTTTAAGTTAAGCAATTTGTTAGCATTTCAAATACGAGATTGTTGTCTACAACTCGGACAAAACACTTATACATAGACGAGAATCTGTTTTCGGGGATAACTCTTACAAAAAGACACGCGCACAATCAGTTCGTTTGTCCCACAAGGGATTCCATTATCCATTATTTTGGATCCCATTTAGATCTCCTGCAGCAGCGCATCAGGCGTTTGCGGATCCGTCGTGCTGCCACCCACCAGCTCGCCACTAATGTCGCCCACCGAGGTCACAGCCGATATCAGAGTCGTAAGCGTCGAATTGAGCAGTTCCGGAACACTGGCCACAGTGCCTGTTACGGTGGTGTACAGAGCCAGAACTGTTGTAGTGGCGACCGTTGCCAGGGCTGGTGTCAACGTACCCTGCGATGGAGCAGCACTAGTGGGACTTTCCGTTGTGCTACTGACGCTGCTGCTTGTCGCATTCAGCAGTGGTGCCAAGGTGGTGTCCAGTGGCATGTGTACATGACCGTGTATCTGGTCCAGCATCGAAGCCGGCACGTACGGATATGTGGGGCAGGGATTCATCAGTTGCGGACCCAGCATGGACTCGAAAACATAGCCGATCAGCGAGCCGGCGGTTAGGCCCACATTATACGACAATGTCATAATATTGCCCGTCACCTCTTTGAGTGTGTCGGGGACCTTGGCAGGCGCCAACATCATAGGCAGACTGCCGGCCAGTCCATTACTGATGCCCAGCGCAATGGTAAAGATAAAGGGCGCCGTTTCACCGGATATTACGGGTCGCTGGCGAGGCGCACAGCACAGCAGGATCAACGGCACCAGCACAATTCGCAGCCCCGACAGCAGGATGAGTTGACGACGGGACCAGGGATACGGACTAGCGGCCAACACTTTTCCCACCACATCGGATGTATTGAAGCAGAACATCAATAGTACGGGCATCCAAGTCCGCAAGCTACACGAGTTGATCTCCACCTCAATGCCCGGATACAGCGAAAGCGTAACGCAATACGCCAAAGCAATGCACACCATATACGGATAGACGCACTGAGCGACGCGCCAGCGTGTGACGAAGCCTTCGCGTATATCGCCGAGCTTGCTTGGCCGGCAACGACGCGGAGTGATGACGTGCTCCACCTTGAACGCGACAGTTGTGGGGGTGGTGGGCTCGTGCGGCGTTCCCGGCAGCTCCGGCAATTGACTTAGACCCTCAATGATGCTCTCGCCGGCCGTGGGATTGGACAGCTCATAGACGGGATTGCTAAAGCTGAGTGTGTTGGCCGCACCGCTACTGCTGCCGGCACCATTGGCACGTGAGGCGGAAGTGGTCATGGTCGTGGTTGTGCCATCCATCGAGAGAACTCCGTATTTAGTATTACTGGTTGCGCCATCGATTTCCTGCTGCAAGTTTTAATAAAATATAGAACAACATTACTAAGTACTCCTTATTATAAAGAGCGAGTTTGGAATGATTTGTTTATCGATCATGTTTAGAAATGCACAACATTGAGAATATTCTTGGCTTGTATTGAAATTAATTTGCATTATAATGAGATAAGTTTTCTATACCAAGTTTGGTTTGATGTTCAAGCAGACGGACAGAAAAAAGGGACGGAGAAATTCGTTCCATCTATCCTATTTTAAGTATAGTACATCAGATATGTATCTTAAACCATTGGCAACAGAGTATGGCTATAGAGCCACCAATGACTAACATCCATGACTAACATGATTCATCCTTCAGGTCTCACATACCTCTCTGCGACGGCAGATCGAGAGATGCATAAATCACTCCTAAGCAAAAAAAAAAATTTAAAAAACATTGCATAAGACCATGAGACCGAATTACCATTTGGTAATAAATATTGGTCCTGAATAAATATTGACTCGGATTCAAACTACGAGTAGCATCTGCATTTGAGAGTAAATTCTATGAAGTTGTGGAATTATGGGTGTTAACTTTCATTTTTATTTATTTATTTTATTTATGTCAACAAACATTGACTGTCGACATAGGAGGAAATTATATTAATTTATAAAAATAATCTTATAAGCTACAAAAGTATAAGAAGGAGAAATCTAATCAAATTACATTAATATCTAATTAACGCCTCCGACCCGGTGGGGGGAATATTATTTGCTCTTCGGCTTATGATGCTAACTTCCATATATTTCTAGCTCCCCTAAAAAGATTAAGGTAATTACTAACACTATTCATAACCTTTATGTATCGGTAGAATATAACTAGAGATATTTCAGGTTAAGCAACTTTAGTGATAGTAATCATTTTTCCCCCCAGAAGTACGGGTATTTTTTACAGAATAAAGTAAGAAAATGTTTTTAAGATTATTTTTATTGTTTGGCCGGCTCGAGGTCAGAGTAAGAAAAACCAATTTATTTAATTTTCTTTTCTTTTTCCGATATATTTCGGTTACGCCACGGTAACCGTCTTCAGGGCAACTACAAAACATATAACATAATTAACATATTAAAACTATAACACAAAAATTTTTATATAATTACTTATTTAAGCAAGTCTGCTCTGTTTGACTTGGAGTTACTAACTAACAGGTGTCTGTAAATATGCGCGCAATTTTCGGTGTCTGCTTTGTAGTTAATTCTGTATTTGTTAGGTGTGTTGATAATGTGTAGCGTTTCGAGAGTGAATCGCTTACTGTAGTGTCGTTCTTGTTGAAGTACTTTCGTTTCTTCAAAGTTGGGGGTGTGTCCAGTCTCTATGCAGTGGGTTGTTAGAGCAGTTTTTTGTGTCAATGTTTGATGCCTTAGTTTGTAGTCTGACTTGTGTTGTGATATCCGTGTTTTTAGTTTCGACTTAGTGGTTCCAATGTAAAATCTCCTACATGGGTTGTCGCTGTCTCCGTCACATGGAATTTTATAGACTACGTTATTCAGGTCCATTTCTGCAATTTTTGCCTTAGTCTTATTAAAAATGTTCCTAAGTGTATTCTCCGGTCTGTGCGCAATTTGTATATCCTCTTTTTGATAGCAGTCTGACTGGGTGAAGCGTTCTGAGAACCCAGATACGTATGTCAGAGATTTGTAGATTTTTGGTGCTCTTGGTTCTTTTTTCTTTGGGTTCTTATGGTTCTTGATTAGGGAATACGTCAATTTGATAGGGAAGTCGTTTTGTGTCAGTATCCGTTTAATTTCTTCCTCTATTTGTTTATGGTAAAATTTGTCACTTGTCTCGAACATCCGTCTTATACAGTTCTTGGCTGTATTTATTCAAACGGAAGGCACGCCGTATGCAGCAACCAGTAAAATGGAATATGCAAAAATAAAGAACAACTACAAAAACTCCAAACACGTAATTAACAAATATCAGCAAATATCCAAAAAATTAGTTAAGTTACAGTCTAGTATAAAATTTTTATTACAATGCCGAAAGTACAAACTTGTCCCCAACTTCATAAACAATACCACAAACTGCACCAATATATTTAAAAATAATTCAAACTCACTCATTCCCACAAACATAAGCCAAAGATTAGAAAAGCATAGCCATATATTTCACATGAAAATTCTTAGTATATTGATCGCACATAAACATAATATTATTGACGAGAAGAGGAAACAATTACAAAAAACAAAAACAACCATAGAGGAAATAATGAGAGCGGACGATACAAAAGCATTTTTTGAGAGTGAAGAGAGCATAATGAACAAACTGACAACAACTCTCAAAGAACGACAACTACGAAAACTGGAGAACCTAAGAAACGATCGTAACGAACGGCACACAGACAACAACAAAAAACAGGCAGAGTGGTTTGCAAACCAATCACACACAACATTCCCACCAAACATCACAGCATTACTTGCTATGGGTCCAAAGTACGCTTTACCAACTGACCGAAAAAGCTTTCCGCTCTTTAAATGCATAGCGGACGGAGAGGAGTTGGTACAAACAATAAAAAACAAAGAGAACCAAGAAACAGCTCGCATAAAACTCTCTTTACTAATTAAGAACATGATGACAAACAACCGAACTAACACAAGAGATCGCGCAATATTAGACACAGTGGAACAAACCAAAAAATTTCTGAAAACTAATGACAACATTTTAATATTAACTTCGGACAAAGGAAATAAGACGGTAGCCATGGACAAGGAGGAATATAATATCAAAATGACGGATATACTAGGAGACGCAAACACATACAGAACACTCAGACAAGACCCCACGCTTAGGCTACAGAATAAAAACAACAACTTCGTTGACAAACTACTCCAATTGAACATAATCACAAAGACTGAAAGGAATAAATTAGTTACAAGCACTGCACTACCACCCAGGATCTATGGACTACCGAAAATACACAAAAAAGGAACACCCCTGAGACCGATTTGTTCGTCAGTCGGTTCCCCTTGTCACGAACTTAGTAGATACATCGCTGGGATATTAAAGAACCTGACCAATACCTCACCATATAACGTTAAAAATTCCTCAGAGTTTAAAGACAAGGTCAACAACACTTATATAGTAGACGATGAGATTTTAGTTTCGTTCGACGTGGTGTCTCTGTTCCCGAGCATCCCAATCGACTTAGCGATGGATGTCATCAGTAAAAACTGGACCAGGATAGAAAGCTTCACTAAAATCCCAAAGAGAATGTTTATGGACATCGTACATTTCTGCATCCGTGAAACAAGGTATTTTAAGTATACGGACAGAATGTATATACAACTTAAGGGACTACCGATGGGATCCCCGGCGTCCCCTGTAATAGCGGACATAGTCATGGAGGAGCTTCTGGAAAACACAACATCGAAATTGATCCATAGACCAAGACTCCTGACCAAATATGTTGACGACTTGTTCGCAATTATTGACAAGGAACAGGTGCAAAAGACATTAGACGCCCTCAACATATACCACAAAGACATCCAATTTACATTAGAGACAGAAAATGACGAGAAACTTAATTATTTGGATTTGACTATAAATAGATGTGGGAATACGCTAAAAACAAAATGGTACCAGAAACCGACGGCATCGGGTAGGCTGATTAACTATCACTCGAAACATCCGAAAAATATGATAATAAATACAGCCAAGAACTGTATAAGACGGATGTTCGAGACAAGTGACAAATTTTACCATAAACAAATAGAGGAAGAAATTAAACGGATACTGACACAAAACGACTTCCCTATCAAATTGACGTATTCCCTAATCAAGAACCATAAGAACCCAAAGAAAAAAGAACCAAGAGCACCAAAAATCTACAAATCTCTGACATACGTATCTGGGTTCTCAGAACGCTTCACCCAGTCAGACTGCTATCAAAAAGAGGATATACAAATTGCGCACAGAGCGGAGAATACACTTAGGAACATTTTTAATAAGACTAAGGCAAAAATTGCAGAAATGGACCTGAATAACGTAGTCTATAAAATTCCATGTGACGGAGACAGCGACAACCCATGTAGGAGATTTTACATTGGAACCACTAAGTCGAAACTAAAAACACGGATATCACAACACAAGTCAGACTACAAACTAAGGCATCAAACATTGACACAAAAAACTGCTCTAACAACCCACTGCATAGAGACTGGACACACCCCCAACTTTGAAGAAACGAAAGTACTTCAACAAGAACGACACTACAGTAAGCGATTCACTCTCGAAACGCTACACATTATCAACACACCTAACAAATACAGAATTAACTACAAAGCAGACACCGAAAATTGCGCGCATATTTACAGACACCTGTTAGTTAGTAACTCCAAGTCAAACAGAGCAGACTTGCTTAAATAAGTAATTATATAAAAATTTTTGTGTTATAGTTTTAATATGTTAATTATGTTATATGTTTTGTAGTTGCCCTGAAGACGGTTACCGTGGCGTAACCGAAATATATCGGAAAAAGAAAAGAAAATTAAATAAATTGGTTTTTCTTACTCTGACCTCGAGCCGGCCAAACAATAAAAATAACTATGAGGAAGGTCACCAAAATACTCAACAAGTTTTTAAGATTATTTAAAGAAGCTGAAATTTTCACTTCGTCAAAAATGTCTTTTAATTTTTTTGTGTCAATAAGTAAGTAAGAACAATTGTTAAAAAACACACCAATTAAATAGTGTTATATAAAAGAAATAATAATCAACATATTAACCTAAATATTTGTAATGAGGTGCAAATTTCGAAAGATGAAATAATTCCAATTTTCTTTTATATAAAATTTCTCAAATATTAATTTTTACTTCAATCAATTTCAATTTTTAATTGAAAAATAACGAACTAAGCTCAGTCAACATGAAAATTACTTTAGTTGGTTTTTTTTTCCTTTTTGTATTTCAACACTCACCTCATCCGGTCGCAAAACAATCTTGGAGCAGGCCTCCACATGGTAGCGCACAAAGGGCGAGTTAATCGTGGCCATGTGAAGCAAGTAGCTAAAGAGTATGTAGAGGGTGGACGTGAGAAAGAATATGACGGTCGAGACGCGATCGTTGTTAATGAGAAGTTTGGTCACAACGCGATTGGAAGACACCAGAAAGCCGGCAATGCTCTCACCAGCCATAACCGCCTGCGTGTATTGTTTGGGCAACATGCTCGCAAATCCGTAAAAGCTGCAATTAATCAATTACATCAATCTATATAGTAACTACAAGTATATATACGATAGCCTATTGTTGCGACTCACCTTGACTGCTGTATGGTGCAACCGATGGCGGTCAGTGCCACCGCCGACATATTTACAACATAGGCCGTATTTGTGGCAAACATGTGCCAAGCCACCTCGCAGACGGCCACAAAGATGAGCGTGGTAAAGGATACCATGTAGCCGAAAAGGACACGCGTTTGAAACGGCGCCAGCGAGAGTACAATATTGTTGAGCAAAACGGTGGTGAACGCCACAAAGATATATGTCATCGACATATCCAAGGCGACCGAACGACCCGGAAATCGTGCCTGCCAATAGTCCGCGGCAATAATAAAGCTACAACAAATGAAACATGGAAATCAATCACTCATGAATATTGCATACATTATTTTTAATTGGCCCTAACTGTGCTTGCTCAGAGGCCGTCCTTCAGTTACTTCTGTACTCAAAACAACTTGTTACCAAGCTTAAGAATATTGTTTAAAGGACATTTTTTAAGGCCTCTTTCCCGAAGTCCCGACCTTGATCAAACTGTATAGAATTAAAATTGATCTAAAACAAACGATTTAATTATCTTATCTTGATTTCGCAAAGACTAAAAAGTCAAAGTCCATATACTATATTAGCCTGTCTACCCTAATGTAGGATAATCAAAATATTACATCAATCAATCAATATTAATCAAAAATATACACAGATATGCTAAGCATGTTTGGTATTCAAAATTTTTGTAAAATTCCTCATCATATTTTCAAGTATCACCAAAATTGGTAAGCTATATAATAAGAACGAAGAGCTATAAATTTAACGTACAAATAAATATAAAAAAAATTTAATAAAAAAAAAAAATACAGACGAATTGATAACCTCCTCTTTTTTGAAATCGGTTAAAAAATAAATCCAACCGATAGTGCAAACATTTCTTTCAAAAGCAACATAGGTGTCTTGTGGATTTTTGTAGTAAGTCTAAAAAAGGATAATAAAACTACTCTCAAGTCACCTGTTATAGGGCAGCACAAATCCAATGCCTGCTGCCAGCAGTGCCAAGTAGACGGCATGTCGTTGATCTTTGGGAGCACGTGTATCAAATTCTGGACTATCCATGCTCGGGTGGCGCATGCCGGGATTGCTGTCGCTGCTACCACGTCCTTCCAGCGGCTCATAAGTGGTTTCCTGTGCACCGCCGTCCATGGTTCAGCCTCTACTCCGAAAGTCGCCTGCGGATATCTGTTGTCAACTTCAATTCGGATGACAACTTGTCTTCAATTGAGGAGCCAATTTTTTTTGGCACGCAAGGAGAAGGGTTTTCCTATTCCTAGTACCCTGTTGTCATTCAGGGTTTTGGGGTTGCTATCAAAATCGCGTTTCGAAACCAAAATCGATAAAGTACAGATGCAAACTGTTTCCACAATTAACTCGCGCCGATATTATGAATGACTGTGCTTTGTACTATATAATTTGAAGTTTTGTGCATTTATTCAACGCAAAAAGCATTATATTTGTGCAATTATAAGTTACACAGAATGTTAAAGCTGCTGCGCTTGTGCATATATTTTTGTATTCATTATTTATAATTTATTTATTTTAAAACACATTGCTAGTTTCCATTTACATGGAATATTGCACTCTTATTTATTTATTTATGTATTTATTAGCTTTTGTGGTGTATTAGAACAATTTAAAAATAATGTTTGCCTTTGTGAGGGCATGCACAACTACTTGCCAATGCTCTGGCATTTTTTCTGGCTTGGCCATAACGTTTCAGTGCGCATGTGGCGTATGATTGATTTTTCGCTCAACCAGTCGGCTTGTTCGTCTCTCATCCGCCCTATTCTCCCTGCCATACCACATGTATGGGTATGTGGCAGCTCCTCTTTCCACACAGCTGTTATGATATGGCGCGCAATGCGAGCATTTAAATACCAAAAAAATTTACATATGTGTACAATGGAAAAAGTTCATATTCACAACTAGAAATGTGATTGATTGTGAATGAAATGTGAAAGAATTGTGGAAAGAAATGACAATCGCCAATTGAACACAGCAATTATTACCAGACGCCCTGTTCATTGAAGCTTGCTTTCAGACTAATCTAGCGAGCGAATTGCCAAGCTATTTAACTTTATTTGCTAATTGCTTATTGACAATAGCAGGTAATTAGTTGCAAGATTAAAAAAGCATGTTACCAAAACTGCTGCACCTTTTTCAAAGCAGTTTCAATATTTCCTCAGGCACATAGTCAAAGTCTAATTGAAATTTAAATTAATATTATTAAGATTATTTATCGATTTCATAAAAGAAGAGGTTATCAATTCGTCTGTATTTTTTTTTTATGTTTGTTACCTCGATACACTCGACTGGGTGAACTGTTTTTAATGGTTCTTATACCATTTGAAAGCTGGTGCTTCCAGAATGGGCCCATATATTAAGTATGTGCAAGTCAAATGAACGCATAACTTTATATCACGATAACCGACTTCTATGATTCTTTTTTTATTGGAAAGGATGTACTTCAAGGGTACTTTGATGAGAGTTTGAGATGAGATGATTCCCATGTGGTCCCATTTCAATTTAGTCCAATTCTGACAATGGCATCCATGAGAAATCCATATAATTCTTAAAACATACAAAATGTTCATGGGTTTTAGATATCATGCGAAGGCACCCGGTAGATGAGTGTCAAATTTAAATGAGATATCATGTGAAATAGAATTTCAATTTCAGTATAATATAATTTGATGAAATTAATTACTTTTATATTGATCCATTTTATACTACTATGGGAGAATTTAAGAATCTTTTCGTTTTCGGAACTTATCAAATAGTATATTCATTTATTATTAATATATATTTTGGAATTTATAAAAATCTGCAGGATGTTACGAAGAAAGAAAACATTTAATATGGCATATACGTAGATATTTATTTCAATGTTTTTTCACACATTTCTAAGCTCGTGCTCATATTGCACAATGGATATAACAATAATTGTTTATTTATGTATATAATAATATAATATATAATTCATACATATAAGGAGCAGATAAAATTCAAAAATCAACTCAACATTTTCGGCATTTTTGTGACTAAATGTTATGACGAAAGCTAACAATCCAACTACAAAATAATAAACACTTTGTGTACAAATTCAAAATAAAAACACATTTTCACCGTAGACGGCTAAAACAAAAGCAAGTAAAGTTTCTCAACAACTTTTAATATACTGGGGGGAGAGTAGACGAATAGAGGAATGCGTTCCAGAATCAGCTTTTGTCGTTTTTGTCGGTACCATTGGACCAATTAAATGGCATTAAGATCAGATAAAAAAGCTTATTAGTAACCACCAGCCCGGTCTATTGTTGTTTCTTTGAGGAATCGTTATAGTTGGGTGGTAAGTCCTGGAATGAGGGAAACAAACATGTGAAACCAATATCTGGCGATTGATAATTTCGTTTACTTACGTTATATGATGGCGGCAAGTCATTCGGACCTGGAGCACTGTTACCACGTTGATTATACTGTGTGTTATAGGCGCTCGCAGCTGCCTCTGCTTCTTTGGAGTCTGTGCGAAGCATAAGAAGCAGAAGTAGTTGATGCAATAAAATGTGTGATGCATCTAAGCTCTAAATGTAAACTGCGATTCTTACAATTTACTTAAGGGATTATTACGGGTACTGGAATAATGCATAAAGATCTCACAGCTGGATAGTGATAATTGTTATAGTAATAATAATATTGTGTGCTGCTGGTCCCTGCATAGTTTGTGGAGTTCGCATGGAAATAGGGAGAATAAATCATTAAACAAGTTACTATTGAGACTTATGTATAATACACATCATGTATAGACAAGTTTTGGGCTCGGCTTTTGTTTAGACAATAAATGTAGTGGGTCTTACATGTTTCGTATTGGTTTAGGTTACAGAACTTGCTTGCATAACATTTTACACTGTGGAGTAGGCAAACAAATAAAATTGTTGAGATACCATTAAAAATAGGCATTATGCTTGGGTTTAGTAACTTGTTAGATTTTATTGTGAATATTGCATTATTGTGAGTTAAGGCATTTTAAAAATAAAATTATGAATTATTAAAGTAGACTATAAAATATAAAAAAAAGACCTATTAATTATGTAAATTAATTTTGGTTAAACAGAAGTCCGCTGTTCGGAATATGCATATTATTATTTAGAGAGTAAGTGAGAGACCCTCCAAAACTCGTCTAACTCAATATTTATCCAAGACCAGTCAGCAAATTAATTGAATGGACAATATTCTTCTGCATTCTTGAGCTGTATGGCGCATTAGTATTGTTATAAAATGTTGATTGTGTCAGGGTTAGAAATAGTGTGTAAGAGCGTTGCATTTTGAACCATTTTCACAGTTTGATTGATCCAAATAGCATTTGCAAATTTCAGTCTCTTTTTTTATTGGGCAGATACTGGGTAAATTATCAAATCAAATAATTAAATGGGCGATGAATATGATTTTATAAGCTACAAATATCTTCGAATCAATCGCAATACTTACTTCCTGGTGGCAAACTGAAGCCCATAAAACTAGCGGCGGCAGTACCTCCAGCTGCTCCGGTGGCTAGACCTGCAGCTGGCGGCTGTTGTGGTTGCTGCTGCGGTGGACCTCCACCCGGGTAGCCGTTCGGTTGCTGTGGTTGCATATAGCCCGGAGTGTTGAAGCCACCGGGTGAATTATAGCCCCCATACGGAGCTTGAGCGCCAGCGGCGGGCGGCATAGCGTAGGGAGCACCCGGCGGACAGTTCGGGGAGCAGGCCGCATATGGTGGTGGCTGCACGTATCCACCATTCCAGCCCTGAGGCCCATAACCAGGCTGCTGTTGTGGCTGTGGATTTTGTGGGGGCACTGAAAAACCATACCAAGTGGGTTCAGTTGGCTGCTGCTGCGGCTGTGGTGCTGGCTGATTGGTAGGCGGTGCTATCGAAAATATAACGAAAAGATGTGCAGGTGTGTAAGATAAAGCGTGCGCGCATTGAAAATTTGTTGTTTAATATTTGAGCCAATGATAAATAAGGCAGCGCAGTAATTGTGTAATAACAAAAGCCGAGTGAATCCCTTATAACATATGGTGAAATACTTACTGATGCCCGGGTATGGCGGCGGATTGTCGCTGATGAACACCGTATTCGGTGCCGGACCACTGAATGCATCATGTTGCGGCAGCCAACCATAGTAACCGGGTGGTGGCTGATATGCCGGTGGAGGCGCCTCGTGCCATGCGCCGGCTGGGGCATATGGTGGAGGATCGTCACCAGGCAGACCACCGCGATGGTAGTTGTTCATGGCGGTCTTGGCGGCACGCAACAGAGCCTGACCATACTCAATAGCTCCGCCAGCTTTGAAGTGCAATTTGAACTTTACCTCGCCGACATAGTTGCCATTAGGTTGGGCACGTACCTTTCCCTTTATGTAGTTGGCACCAAAGACTGGCTGCTCGATTTCAACCTATAAGTGGGAAGGACAAATTAATTACAACGCCAGTTGGCTTTTTGTTGCACTTACATCGGAGAGCGCCACGAACGGTGCACTGAAGGATTGCAGTGGATCTGACGATTTCTTGCTGTTGAAAATCATGCGATGCGACGTTAAATAAATGCGTCCCGTCTTCGATCCTTTGAACAAGGGATTGTCTTGACCGGAAAACTCCATCGAAACGCTATCGCTATGCAGCAATATGCTGAAGAAAAATGATAAATAGGTAGATTAAAATTTAATCTAATCGCAGGCCAGGTGGCATGGTTAACGCGTTTTGCGAAAGACACGCCACCTGCATCCAATTTACCCAAATAATACGCAAATACAAGTGACGTCAGTTTTTGCCACAACAAAAGATGAAAATATTGCTACGAAAGCATTTTTCGAATACTTACTATTCACCCGCATGGATGAGCACGCCATTATTAGCGTGAGCCGTATTAAGAGACATAATGTCCAAAAATTTCTTCAAAAATAATTTAAATTTCCACCAAACACAATTTCTATTACTTGTTGTTTTTCTAGAAGTGACAGCTGATGATTCATAAACAGTGTGTACACACGATATTGGCGGGCGCATTGGATTTACTAAAAAATACCACATAGGCATGGGGATGACTTTATGCCTTAACCAGCTGGCAACTTATCCAACAAACATTAAATTAGGTGGCAACGTGTGTTTTATTTTCTTTTGCTGCATTTATTTTTCTAGTTTAAAAAAACCATAAGCAGTCACATTGTGTGTGTGAAAAATAGCTGATATAATTTTTAACTTAATGAATAACTTGTGGCAAGTAATTCAAAATGACACAGAGCGCTATGTGAATTCGTCTGGAAAAGGCCGCATGTAGTGCATATATATAGCGCGGCCATGGCGTACAATTATGCAAATTTGGCTGATAACATGTGTAAGTAAAACAATATGAAGAAGAAGGTTCATGAAGAAGTGCATCCTAAGTGAGTGTTTTGCTAGGTTTTTTAATTTATTGATGTTTTGTTGATTGCACAGCGACACTGCGACCGATTTTGCTAAAACCACGACCCTCGTCTCCTACATTGAAAAAGTTCCTAACGCCATGCGTTTTATGCGCACAATCATTGCTTTTGTTTTGCTCGATTGCTTTTGTATGGCATTCTCAATATTTGGTAATTTTACTTTTTGCAGTGCCGATCTTTAGGACTATGCCAAATAGCGTCAGCTTGCCAAATCATCCGAGTTTCATTAACCAGCTGGCAGCGGCCATAACAACCACTACGGTGGGCGGCACGCACAATGCTACGCCCACAACAACAAGCAGCAGCTCAGCCATGCAATCTGGCACAGCATTGGCAGTATCCAATAAATCGACGTGCAAGTCCAAATCAAACAGCACTCAGGGAGGCAGTGCCCCCATGGACTTGGAAAACGATACAGATGTGGATGCCAACGAGAACACAACAATGGCTGCACTATCCGGACCAACTTTAAAGCCGACAGACAAGCTACCAGGTACAGCCCTAACGCTGCCGGATGCGCAACTCTATTTGAATGGATTGTTGCATACGACGCCAAGCTATTTGTACTTTCCCACGGCTCAAAATGCTGCGGCAGTGGCAGCTGCTGCCTCGCCCAGCAACGCCACAGCATCGGCGTCCAGTGCGACCAACGGGAATGCACAAATGCTCATGGATCCGACGGCAATGATGGCCGCTGCCATGCAGCAGATGCATAGCAATTATGCGGCGGCTGGTTATGCTGCAGCTGCAGCTGCTGCCGGTTTGCCCCCAGAGGCGGGCGGCGTGGTGCCGACCGCAGCAACGGGCGTGGAGGCTACTGGAGCTGGTAAGATGGATCAGAAATAATGCTGCTAATATAGCCAAAATTTAAACTCTGAGTGACACTTTCAGATGGTGCCACGCCTGTTGGTTTAAAGGAGGTAATAAAAACCAAAAACTGCATACTCTTTCCGCCCAATCCGAATGCACCGCCGCCAACCATACGCGAGCGTCCTCCTGGATGTCGCACGGTCTTTGTGGGCGGTTTACCTGAGAATATTACCGAAGATATAATACGCGAGATATTCGAATCGTGTGGGGAAATCACGACGCTGCGCATGTCTAAAAAGAACTTCTGTCACATACGCTATCGCCATGAGACGGCCATCGATCGGGCCATTTACTTATCCGGCTATCGCCTGCGCATCTCCAGCATTAATGAGCCGCCAAACTTTGGGCGCTTGCACGTGGATTACGCGCAGGCGCGTGATGATCAGTATGATTATGAATGCAAACAGCGGCAGCTGCAACGTGAGCAACGCCATCGCGAGCGTATGTCCCTGGACCGCCTACGATCGCAATCTCCGCCACCAATACCACACTACACGGATCACGAAGCCACGGTTGTTTCGGAAAATCTACGGAACAACGAGACCTTCGTGAAAGCCATACAAACCATAACGGCCTGGCTGGAGCGCGGTGACTGCACCAAACGCAATGCGAACGTATTCTATTCAATGATACAAAGCACGCATGCGCATGTCCGGCGTCTGCACGCAGACAAGCAGCAGATGGAAGAGGACTTGCGCAAAGCTCGCGAATGCTATCGCAAGCAAATGGGCACAATGTCCACTCAATGTAAGTGACAATAGTGGTATGGATCTTAGCTTAAGTACTTAGATTAGTCCTCTCTTAGGCGCGCTCCCTTTTCAACATTTTTGATTTATTTTGCGCCTGGGTTTTAGAATCTAGCGTCTAACATTAATAACATACAAATCTAAACACACACACATACACAAACAATACCAACATATACACTGACTCGCACACTAGCATATTATACTCATCGCTCCTTAAAAAACCCGTAAACTACATATGAAAACTCACTGTCTAAAATTTGCTCTCAATGTACAAACCAAGCGCTAAGCGAAACAGCGAGCAGGTAAAGCCGAGACTCAACATAAGCGCCACACAATGGAAGAAAACAGAATGGGATAATACTACAACGTAGGTTATAAAAAGATAGAAGTATGTTCTGGAAGCATGGCTGGGCACTCAACAAATTGATTTTCTTTCTCCAAAAAACCCGATATGTTGTCAAATAAACTATATACATATCTCATAAAGTTTAGTTTAGTTTATTTGGTACGGAACATTACAATAATTATAATATATTCTCGGATGAAAAGCACTTTTTTTACATATGAGCTTCGAAATACAGAAAAAAAATGATTTTGCAGGGAACTTGCTTTTCACCCATTTTGTCCTACTTTGGGGTCGAATTTTTTTCGTAAACTCCGCCAATTGAATATAAAGTCAACGTCAATATTTGTCTTATAATGAAGCAAAATTAAAAATGGAATTTGAAGCATGCATAGGTTGGGTTAGGTTATATTATGATTAGGTTGTATTATCCAAGTCAGAATGCAAGCTCTTAACATTCCTTTTCTCCCATTGTGTGACGCCTTTGGAAAACTTGTTCACTCACTGGTCTAACACTCTTCTACACTCCACATCAAGCTCTATTATGTACTTTAAGTCCAGGCCAAAGGTTTGTAAAACAGCAGAGCAAACCAATAAAATAAGTAAATAAAAGTAGTTCTTAATTCAGACTCGATATCGGACCAGACACCGCCTGCGCTATTGGCTGTCTCTAAAAAGCACTTGCGCACCTTAACTAACCATGACCATAACCAAGTCTATAGGTAAAATCCGTTGCACTGTCTCTAGACTATTTATATTCAATCCGATGTGCTATATGCCATGCATTTGCGAGGGTCTCTCAAGTAGTTTTCTTTCTACTTATTATTTCAAACTGAAAACTTTTTTTTAAGACGCAGTCTAGTTAAACAGTCAAGAAAAACATCAACAACAAAAACTACCCTCTGTCCTCCCTTAATATTATTATATATTATTGCATTATTGTTCAGTCACTCAGATTGAAAAAGTGTTCGAGAAGTCTGTTCACAAGAAGGTTTGGGACCATTTCACCAAAGCCCAAAGAAAAAACATCGATCAATGGAAGAAATTAGCCACGGTACGTACAAAAATGTTCAATGAAAGAATTACGAAAAGTTCAAAAAGTATAATACATTAAATAAAATATTGTTGTCAATTAATGTGATTCTTAATATTCACATTCTTATTATCGTATTGCTTGTCTAACATTTTCCTTTTTATTTCATTTCTGTACACTTCACCATATCGCCTATAGGCTGGCATGTCGATTTCGCCTACTAAGTATTTACCCCATTCGCAATTACCTATTATTTTGTTTCCTATGTCGACTAATCAACTGTTGTAGATTTGCCAATTACAGTTTATTTTTAGCGTCAATTTCTTCTCCATAAATTACACATTTTTAGTTGATTTAAATAATTGCCAGCTCTGTATTCGTTCGCTTGAAATAACGTCATGCAACTTCCAATATATTTCGTAATAATTGCCTTCTGTCTACATTTTTAGAATATAGTTAATTCTCCTCCATTGCATTGTTAACCAAATGTTTTGATTGTTTAACTTTTTGGGAACTGTTCCAATATGCATATTGGGACAATGAGATTTGAAGGAATAAACATTTTTTAAAACCGTTGAAAAGATAAACGAAAGGAAAGATATCCGTTCGCCAATATCGAAAACTAATTATAAACGCACCCTCAATTTGTATTCGCCGTTCGCCAATCTAGATTGAATAGATTGAACTAACTTGGTTGATCTAAACAGATTTTGTTTCATATTGTTAATCTAAAACTGATAAGTATAGTAGATACCAACTCTTGGGGTCCAAAATTTAAGGGAAGCAGTTTATTAACTTGATTAATTTTTAATTTTTAGATTCCATTTAACGTAGTTTTTTCCAGTAACTCGCTATGTGGAACAGTTCCCAATCATAAGTGTTTTTTAAATTATTTATTCGCTCTTTGGCCATTATATGCTTATGAACGCTTTTAAGCAATAGTAAATAGTATATTTCCTATCTCTTTTGGGTAAAAAAAAAACTAAGCATTAACATGCCATAATTGTTTTTAATAAGCTTTCAACTAAAAACATAACTCTTGAGACGAATGTCCTCCGAACTTGCAAATGTATTTTTTATTTAAATAATTACAAAACGAAGATAAATGTATAGTATATACGAAAAAGCAAAGCAATTGCAAGTTTTTAAGGCACTCACTGGTAAAATTGGCCAATAAAATTGTGTTGGTAAAATATAATATATTCTTCAAATGGTTAATATTCCATGTTTATAAATACGCGAACAAACAACAAATTAATAAAATACACTTTTTAAAGCTTATTGAAATGTGGCGAGGTAAGTAAGCGGACTAGACCAGACCAAAAAGCCAAGACAAGCTAATTCGAAGCTGAATATTTCAATACAAATTCTATAGTTAGGTTACCTTTATCTCTTTAAGAAATGGTTCTCATCGAACAGTATCTTTCAAAACCAAATCATTAATTGTATAAACTTTTCAAATAAAATGCAGGAGCTCCGAGCCGTGCAAATCGATGATGACGAGATGGAAATTTCGGATGATGAGCGAGACTACGAGAAGCGTGGCGGGAAACGCATGCGGTATGATAGTGAAAGCCTTAAGGTGTGTATAAATACTACACTTAAATTGTTATGTTCATCAATTAAATGATATTATCATCATTACTTTTCTAGGATGAAAACGATTCCCTGCGCTGTCAACTGGAGGCCATACGCAATGAGATGTCGCTGGAGCGCACCGATCTGAGGCACGATAGTGTGCAGCGCGAGAAGCAAATAAAAGTGCTGCAGGAGACAATACGCAACATGCAGACACAGCTGTTGCAAACAAAGCTGCGCGAGCAGAAGGATGCCAAAACCATAGAACAATTGGAGCGTAATCTGAAGGAGGCAGGTGTCAAGCAGCTACTACTCAAGACAAAGATCAAGGAGACTGTGGACAAGCTAAAAGACAGAGAGGCTTTCAGTGCCAGCGCTTCAAATACTTCCAATGCTGAATACAGCAGCGGCGAAAGCGAAGAATGCGAGCGCAAGCAACGCAATGGCAGGCAGGCAACAGACTCCTTACAATCCGAGGATCCAGAGATTATCGACATCGACAAGGTAGACGATGATGTACGCATAATCGAGCATCAAAGTGGCGTGGTCGAGATTCACGAAATCGAGGATGACGAGAAACAGGATGCGGCTGCAAAAACAACAGTTTCTGTTTCAACGGCAACGGAATTAGATCCAGCTGCTGTGGAACCGATTCCAGCCGATGAGATGGTGATTAACGATGCCAATATTTTGCCCGCAAGAGCTGCACAGCAGGTATGTTCTATAGGTTTACTGGAATCTCACAATTTAACAGCACGCCATCTATACGTGGCTATAGTAATTTTGTATTAAAATAGTAAAATAGAAGTTGTGATTTTACTAAAAGGCACTACACTAAATACTGCCTACACCCATCAATAACATACCGAACAGTACTGAGACAAAAAATCTGGTCTAAAGCAGATTTTTTAATTCTGAAAAAATCTACATTATAGACTGGTTTAATCTCGTTTCGTTTTGATTTGTTATTAAAGTATTTTTCTTTTAATTAACACCAATGTTAACTGCTGGGTTTTGTATTTTGAAGGAATTTTCCAAATATAAAGGCCAATGAAGTGCTTTTCAGAATGTCATCTTTAGGCTTGAAATTTAGATCATTTCTGAAAAAGTTTGTTCTACTGTTGATATACTTATAAGCGATAAAATTAGGCGATCATATATGCAAATAATAATATATACGTGTATACATATATTCATGACATATTTGTGAATTTCCCAGATTTAATCACATATTTTAAATGTAAATTATTGCAATTTATTAATTAGAATTATTCAATATTCTCACTTACAGTGTACTTTTAAGACATTAGAACTTGCCGAGGCAAAGATTATCGCATTAACTGCCGCCTATCTTGTAATGCATCCGCGTGGCTTGAACATTGAGAACATTGTCATCTATTTGCGTGGCATGCTTATTAGGTCCTTGGAGCTAAAAGGCACCGACGAACTGACCAGCATACTGAAAAAGTACCCAAATCTGTTCAAGGCTGATGATGAGACGAAATGGAGTTTTTGTGGTTTTAATGAAACACCAGATGCAGATGCGGTAGAGCCGCACTGAGGTATGGCGAATAACAATAACAACAGCACCAACAACAAGAGAAACATGAACAATTGAATGCTTTAATTAAGTTATAAATACCAATGTATTTTATGCCTAGTGTTTAAGCAGATCGCAAGTGAAATGTTAACCAAATTTTTGATGCAATCACAACAATGAGACCAGTTTTTAAATGGAAAGTACTCTTAGTTAACGTGCCGTAGTTAAACATAGCTAAATGACTTAAATAAACAACAAGGAACTACCGTTTCAATTATTTAAACAATTAGCAACATAAATGTAGGCAACTCGATTATACAAACAATACTTGTACCGATATGCAAAAGATAATTGTATATTATGGCAAAAACAAAGCACATACGCAACTGGTGCATATATTTCATGAAAATATATGTATTTTCAAACAAAAATGTAATATTTGAGCCAATAAACTTGATGAAAAATATATAAGAAAGCATCTGTCTATGCCGCGATTTAACTCTTATTATGACGATGATAATATTATTTAAAAGTGCTTGGTAATATAACAAAGTTTCCCAATATCCATTTTATATACAACTACGTACTCTAATATAGTTGACATAAGAAGATCGATAAAGCCGCAGCCGGTAAAGATGTCGACACGAGCCTAATACATTCCTACAGCATTCCTTTTTTGTTTGATTAATTATCTTCAAGTACTGCTTATGGATAAATTACATCTTTTAATCAAGGTCTGGATTGTGTTCCGAATAACTATTTGATCCAAAAGTTTCAATACCTAGACAGTCAAAGGACTTTCAGAGATGCCTTCATAATATCGCCATTCTTACATCAGCACTAGCGTAATTTTCATATTTCACAACATTCGTAATCGTCCTTTGCAAAGGACAATGCAATCAACGATTTAGCCACCTGCAGCATCCGACACACTCACGCTAAGCTGCAGTGTGCACGAGTCCAGCTCTCCACTGCCGTCGGCCATGACGTCAGAGAGCGAGATTACTTGAAATAAGCTTATTGGATTAGAATACGCGTTTGGTTGAACGACGATAGCAGGAAAAAGAAAACAAAAACAACGACTGTAAATTTCCCATACGATAACGCCAGCAGTAACGACGACCCAAAGAGACAGCCTCAGCTCGTCTGTATTTGTGTGTGTTTGTGTATGCGTGAAATTCTGCCGAGCTACATACATAAATACATACACGTATATACATATGTACATATGTATGTACGTTGCTCGTACATTTAACCAACAACGGAGGCCCGTCATATCAACAATATCAGTCGTATTTGCGAATTCGTTGCGCGCGGTTCAAATCGTGCCGAGCTGAGAAAACAGAACTTAAAGAATTACACACTCAACATTTATAATCATCATCTGCTGTCCTCATGTCCATGTGAAATTTAAAAGTGTTGTTCTGCCCGCCAGTAATTTTTGTGCCAAAAAGTGAACTGCAGTTTTTTTGTGGCGTTTCTCTTCTTGTTTTTATGTTTTAATGTAATTACATACGTTCAGGTTTTAAGTATAAACCAAAGCCCAAAGGCAAACTCAAGCGAAACAATACAAAAGGCCAACCCCCAAAGGACAATTCAAGTTCAAAGTAAGTGTAAGTGCGTCTGTGTGTGTGAAACGTTGGAAGCTGCAGAGACCGAAGCACGTGTTTGCTGTTTTCCTTTTTTGGGTAAGTTTTTGGTTCGCCCGGTTAATTCAGCTTTCCTTGCCGTTGCCCTCTTTCTACAGTTCTGCAAGCACTGCCCACAAAATTACAACGGATAAGAGCATGTGTGTGTGTATTTCTTTTACTGTTACTTGCAGGCAAACCAAAAACAAGAAGAGAAAAACGATAGTTTGTAAAGGTTGAAACCAATATGCTGTTAAAAGCGAAATGAAATAATAACATAAGAAATACCTTAAAAACTTTCAAAATGAAATATATAAATTGTTAATGAAAATCAAAGTAAAACGATATTTAAGAAAAACATCTATCGAGTTGATATACTGTTGTTTTTATTTACTGTTTAGGTTTCTTTTGTGCTAACTACATGTGTCAACTTCTTAAACAATAACAAAGGAATATAAAATTACGGAAAACAATTCATTTGCAGTATTTGTGACAGAAAAAACTAAATAATTCTGTATTATTCAATATTGCGTTAGGCTTTAAAATATTTTTTTAAAAAGTAGCAACTGGGTGATAATTGAAAGTGTAAATCTTTATGTCGTAATATTCTCACAGCTTTATATAAGCATATAGTATGTACTTTTCATTAGCAATCATTCTTAATAGAGAAGCAGAAATTTCCTTAAAAATTAAAGGAAATTAAAAATTATTTGCTATAAGAAAATATAAAGAACAATATAATTGAATACCCATAATTTACAAACGAGCGCTCGCAAGGTCCTGATATATGTATATTAAATAATTGGCTTCTTCAGTTCTTAAATGTTTAAATAAGTACATAAATAAAGAAAACAAGTATAGTATGATATATATTTGTTCAAACAAATAAGCATACAGAACATCAATAATTAATTTAGAATGAAAATTAATTAAATTAAAATTCTCAGATAATCATTCTGAGTCTCGGATCCGAGAATATTGTAGCACTGCGTTTACAAACTCGTACTATTCATAAAGCTTACATGGCAAACATAAAATCATGAATTCAGAAAGCCAAACCCAACATGTTTTCTCAACATGTTCATATGAGTTTTGTACATTGAGCATAGACCCCAAATATTTTGATGACAGCAGCAAAATAAATTGTCAAGAGCTGGAACACAAGAACGTGACAATTGTCAACAATATGCAAAAGAAATTGATTCATAGACCATATAATGCAAAAATTAACGTAAACGTATTTAATGAACAACACACTTTTGCTTTCATTTAGTAATACGCCTAATCACATGATAAGTTATGCAAATAATGACAAATTTCCCATGTACTACTTAATACAATTATGTCTGTATTGTATACCTGCCTTAGTGAGAGAATAGATATTAAGTTCATTGTAATTGCAATTCGCGTTTCCGAGCTAGCTCGCCCTATCTCTAAACACAAAAAATCCCCATAGCTTAGATTCACTTGATATGCCCGGCTCGTTAAATTAATTCTTACTATTTATTGTACAGTATAACCTCAATCAACTAGTTTCAGATAATGCCCGAAATACTGAAATTTCCGAATTACCTAAACAACGAATTTTTCAATAAATCATTACGTTCTTTTGAAAACAAAAATGGCTTTCAAATAGGTTTAAAATTTTTTGTGTCGAAGAATCGTTGCTATTTTTCAAGGTCTTCGTATTAATAAGTTTACGGCGTCCCAATTTTACAAGACTACTATTTTTCTTAATATTTTGATTTAAATACATACAAATGATAGGTTTCTGAACAAAATCCAGTACTTCCAGTTTAATCCAGATTTCGGAGGTGCGAAAAAAAGGTGACTGTATTATACAGTCTACAATGGCAATGAAATGGATGTCCGGATTATCGAGTTTTGCGATCTATCAAGTGTCCAAGCCATTAAGATAGCATTGTATTATCAGGTTAAAGCTATATACATAGGTATATGCACTCCATAATTGATAAAACTTTCTGAGTTTTGGACTGCCATTTGATAAGATGTAACGGGTTTTCTTTTCCTGTTGCGTGCAAGATTAACTGATAAACGACCAGTAATCAGGGGCCCATTATATTGGTTCATATAAATCACTAAAAGCTTATATGAAATGCTACATAAAACACAGAAACCTCTTCAGCAGCAATAAAATGAAGTTGCCAACAGCCTTAGAAACTTACTATCAAAAGTTTAAAGAAACTAATTTGCAACCAATAAGTATGAGTAGAGAGCGAAGCAATCCATTTTTCCAAGTGTTTGCAAGCTTTTGCCACTTTAGGTTATCTGAAAGCAAAAGCAGCAAAAATATTTACACGATAAGATTAAGAGTTAAAATATTTAAAGAAAAATGAAGATATCTGAGTTAAAAGTTCAGAGTTGAAACACATTTTTGCCCCTGAATAGATAAGAATAAATATCGTATATATCCAAGCTCTGCGAAAATAATTATATATTCTCATATTAAAAGAAAATAAAAATAAATAAATAAATACATTAGATAAGCTTAATTACGAAAGTAAACACTCTGTTCTACAAATTTTTGACTTTTTATTAAAGCACCAATAAGTGTTTCTAATTGAAGCTGGTTCAACGGAAACATAACTCAATACAGGAAACATAACAAACAACATAACAAACAAATACATAACATTCGAATTTTACAAACTCCACCACCTCGAGCTTAAAGAAAGAAAAAAACATATATTTTCAGTAGCTTTGGCACCTTGTCAAAGTAATAGTTCGACAAGAAGTTTAAATATTTTATTAACTAAACTACATAGGTGGGTTCGCAGGAAAGTACATGAATTTCTTTAGTTAAGTCTATCATTTCATTATAATTTGCATGAAAAAGCTGGGACAAAATACAGGATTGGATTTGTGTTAATCTACGGTCTCAGATGCAAATGATTTGCATACGAATTTGTATTATTTTACATGTAGGCTCTAAAGAGTAATTTTTCTGAATTTTGTTGAAGAAGAAAATTAAGTTTTAGTGTAGAATTCTGATTAGTTTTTATTACATTACATTCATGACATACCTGTAGAAGTCGACTAATTTGCGTGCAAATTTTTTGCCTGTCTGACCGTAGCTTAACTTGTAAACAAAACGTATAATCGAAACTTAAATGCCACATCCATGTAAATCGGCAGCATCCAAAGCAATTTTAGTAAACAAGGGTTACAATTAAAGCTCGGCTGCATTTTCACAATGAAAAGAAAATTGTAATTCAACAATTACAATGTTATTTGCAGTACCGGGAATCATTTAAGCTATGCTTGTACATACATACATAAAAATTGAAATACATACACATGCGATGGGAGAAGTTTCTGATGAATATGTGCGAGTTTTAACACATTATTTGCATTTTGGGAAAAACAAGGTGATAATTTTAGGTAAGGGGGAAATCAAACCAATAACCGATGTCACGTGTACTGAGTGGGCGGTGGTGAAAAAAGGGGAGTGGCATGTAATTAAAAACCAGTGACATCATCCGAAACTGTTGGGCTTTGCATGAAAACAAATTGGACACAAATATTTCTGCCACATTTACATATGTAAGTATGTACCTCGCTGACTCACATCGTATTTTCCTAAGAATGCAACAAGCTGCTGTGGTTTTTGCGCAATTTGATTTAAATAAGCAAATAAAATCAATAGACCCTGCACTGAATACGCAGAGCAAACCATTTATAGCTTCATTATTTGATATACATTGCTGGAAATCGGTGGGAAACCCACTCTTGGTAGG